GAGGTGCCTCAATTAGTACATAAAGTGGTTGACGCGAAATAGGATCTTGGGTTTTATTCTGATGACCCCAAGCTCTCATCCCCGCAATTCGTTTGATGCTGGATTTTTCTCTTAAATCCGTTTCACTGCCTCTATAAAAATACCTCACCGGATTCTCAAACCAGATTTCTTAAACGGGGACAAATTACACAAATATATCTTTAAATCTATACTTTCTAATAATAAATTATAATTTAAAACAGACTCATCGTCTGTTACCCCTCCCTCCTCTCAAACGCTTATTTCTCGGAAAATACAAAGTTGAACAATCGTTTTACTTTTAATGAAACAAACACAACAAGGATTTGCGCCAAATGTATTGAAGGGAAACAATGCAAAGGACCGGAAGGAGTTGAAACTGAATGGAGCGGTTTTCGAGTGTTTTATGATGAAAAGGAAAATAGTCTTGAAGTAAATTTGGATATTTTTGGGAAAAGGTATGTGAAAAATACAGTCTTTTTAGATATCCTAAATTACGTATTCCTCAATTTAAAATGCGATTTCTAAATCTTCGCTGTCCCAATGATGATTGTAGGAGCATTTTAAGATTTTTAACAGCTACCCTAACTCGACCATATCCTTAAAATTGTTACCATTTTTTTCTGAAATTGTACATGTGTTAAAAATACTAAAATGAATCCTTTTGCAAAACGCCATTCTCTAGAGCATGTTATTTTAATAGAAGTTTGAAATGCATAATTTTTTCATACTATCAAGGGTTTATAAATGAGTTTAATCAGTATGAAAATTATAAAAAATTAATTTAAAAAATTTTTTAATAGAAATACTCTCCATATTAATGGATCGACTGCACTCGGTTTTCTTCAGGCATTATCAGACAAAAATCTTATATGTAATTTTATTAACAATTTTGTTTTTAAATTTATATAATTTTAAGCAAAAATAAGAGAACAGAGCAATGTAGACAAGGAATATTCTGAAGAAAAAGTTGGTGGGGCTTGGTTGGAAGATTATTTGGGTGTTTCGGCATTAAACATTGATTTGGGTATTGGATTTGGGTTGAATCGGGATATTGCTTTTGGAATGTTATACCGTCGAGATTACCCCATTAAATGCCGAAAAGAAAAGGTAGAGAGAATTTATTTTAGGTATAATCAAATGACAATTAAAGTGGAGATGGGCCGGATTATTAAATCAATCCAAGTCATTTTCGAAAGCCCGATCCAAAATCTTCTCCGTCTTCTTTATCTAAAAGTTACATCCTTTGTGCAGAAAAATTAAAAATTTTATCTAATGTAAAAGGTTACAATGTAGGCAAAAGTTGAGAGCAACGGATATATGATCAAATTAAACTGACACCTTTTATGTCTACCACATTACATTTTATATTTCAGAAAAAAGTTACAACAACGGCAATTATTATAAAACCGAGTACGGCCATGAATTCAAAACCTAAAGTCGGGATAACTACGAAAATACATAAGATAACGCCGATACCTAAGAAAACAAAAACGACAAGAGCTACTGCTGTTACAACGTATAAGCCTCGTTCTAGTACTGCATTCGCTCCGATTGTAGGTTTTACAATAAATTAGAAGGGATTTCGGCTAAGTAGCTAAAACGCCAAACCCGAACTTAAACTCAAAAATCAACCAAACGAGCTATACATATATTTAAAAATATTTTTATTGCAGGATCAGTGCAAATTGTTTAACGATGCAGAACTGATCGAGCGATATGCCTGCAAGTAAGTTTAAGAAACATTAATATTTCTTCGACATGATAACAGAAATGGATTAAAATTCATTTATATCTTGAAATAATATCCTTTTATGTAAATATTCACCAATAATTTTAATATTTTTAGTTGCGCTGACTTATCTATGCGAGAACTTAATGCGTATGTTATTTATTAAAATATACACGAATATTTTTAACTAAAAATTTAGTAGGTTGCAAAAGGAGTTTATAATCCAAAATTACTTAAGAATTGTTTAAGGTTACAAAATGTCCGAGTATTGTGATTAAGTAACTCCTTACCTTATTAGGGTTACTCAGTAGCTATTAATTAAGTTTAACTTCTTTAAATAAAATTTTCAATTCAAATTTTACTAAACAATCTAATCCAGGTGTTGTGAAAACTACCATAAATGCCTTTCAAAAATTAACGATATTATCAACAATAATTGTACTTTCTCCCCAAACATGTATTATATCTCAATTAATGTATCCAATTACAATTGGACGTGTAATGAATGTGTGTGGGTTCAAAATAGGCATTGCCAATATCAACAGTGCAAGTGTGATAAGTAAGTGTAGAGGAGAGGCAATTGTCAACTTTACAATTGCCAAAAAATCAAAAGACTTAAGAAATTCATTTTTAGGCAAGTTATTGAATGCTGGTCAAGAATCCCCGCTCCTAAGCATAATAAAAATGAATCAGTTAGCTGCGAAGCAAAATTTATCGATGAAGTCAAAGATAATCCAAATATTCCAATTGCTAATGTTACCAATATTCGCCGAAATAATGATAAAAGTTGGGAGAAACTAGATAAAATTGAAAAGGAAATTGAGACGTTAAAACATGATAGGCCAATGCAAAAATTTCTTGTTAAAACCCAACAGGCGGCTATAAAATACTCGGATGAGATTGATTTGGCATATGACAAAATGAATTCAACATTATATGAAGCTATATTTAAATTAAATGAAGCAATAAATAAAGCAGAAAAATCCAACGATGAAGAAGATTTAGTTGAAGTAGAAATTGCTCTTGACGAATTTTCAAAAACTTTACAGGCTGCAGTGACTTTTGATAATGAATACCAATGGGCTTATACTTCTATACTTACTGTTCATTTAAAAATAGATATGATTGTAGATTTGGCTACGGGCAAAGTTGAATAAAAATTTTTAAATTAATTAATTGAATCAAAATTAATTGTCTTATTTATAAAGCTGTGAAGTTAGGCAAGTAAAATCAAAATAGGCACCAAAAAGCCAAAAAAGGCACAAAAATAGGCATGTAAAAAAGGTTATCAAGCCTATATAATTAAAATAAAGACAAGAAAATACCCATTTATTCGTTATTTTTTGAATTATAAACTAATTATTAAACTTTTTTGGCATTTATTCGTCATTTTGAGTAATTTTTTGTAAAAAACTGTTAAAAATTTGATAATTGACAAAAGGGACATCTTGCCCAACCCTCAAAACGTCTCACCCCAAAATGTCCCAATACCAAAACGTCTCATCTCAAAATGTCCACAGAGTAAAAATACTTAATTCATCGGATTAAAGTTAAAAATTGGAGTTGTCACTGATTTTTTAAAATCTGGGGCTGATTTTTTTTAGATTTTGCACTGATTTTTAGGCGAAATTTAGGAAAAACGCTAAAATAGGCAAAAATAGTACCAAAATTTTCAAAATAGGCAAAAACGCTCAAAAAGTCCAAAATAGGCAAAAATATGCATATAAAAAGTCATGCTATACTCTTCTGACCATGTTAAAAACATGTTTTTTCAACGTTTTGAGTTGCGGTATGCGGGATTTACATATCTTTAGAAATCCTGCCCCTTAAAAGTTTAAAAAAAATACGCATGTAGTTTTATTGAGCGTATTCTTCGGCTGTATTTTAGTCATTAAATTATCCATCATCTCTAGAGAAGGGTATTTTGCCAATCTGGAGTTACTGTTTAACAATTGGACCTAAAAATAAATTTATCTCTACTATATCCTCTTTCATAATCTCTCCCACAGAAACAAGCCCTTTTTTTACAACAACCAACCAATTCCAAAGGATCTGCTCCAGCATTTAATATGATCATGTTCTAGGCAAAATTTTTGTATCAAGGGAAGAAACTTCCTCGAAATGTCTATCCTCCCAGCTATCAACAAAATATATATGAAAGTTTATTTTTAAATCTTCCTCTAGTGGGTCGGTTTATCTAATAGAGAGATTTGCACTACATATTAGAAGAAATACGGTATTTATAAGTTGTCTGAAATAATTTTATTCATCAATTTTTCAATCATTTCTAATTTAAATTTTGTAAATTAATTTTATATTTTAAAGCATTTTTTAAATTTTATAATTGATTAATTAATTTTTTTACAACTCTTTAAACAAATTTTAAAAATTAACGAGTCGATAACAGGGTTGCGTCGAATTAAAAAAATTTTTTCGTGACCGTAATTCGTAATTACGACGCTACTCTAGTCAATAATACACGTATATCTATATTCATTCAAAAATTTAATCAAGTCATGGATACAGATACATACATAAAAATTATAGAATATATCCCCCCTCCCCCTCCTATCGTCAACATTTTTAAATATTTGCCCTTCCCTTCATTATTATTTGCCGTTATTTATTCATATTAAAAATAGTTATACATATATTTATTAATTTATTTATATTTTTAACAAAATTTAAAAATACTCTCATTCGGCATTTTTTGTAAAATTAGGTTTTTGCCATTTATAAAAATTATATTTAATTTTCTAAAATGTTCTCCCAAAATTAAAAAATATATAAATTTAGCTATTTAAATGATTTATTTAAATGCTTTAACTTTTCTTTTGTTATTTTCTAAATGCTTTGGAAGTGGAAATGATGATGATGATTTTAATCGTCATATTAGAGATTTTCACGATCAACCAATTTATAGTTTAAATAATAGTCCAGAATGGTTTAATCCTTCGGTTTGTTATTTAAAATTATAACAGATTACTTACTATTAACTGACTCAACTCTTATTTTCGGTTAACCCGCGAATTCTAAATTTTGTTTTATAAAAATATTAAAAAATTCCATTATAGGAAAGCAATTATCATAACTATGGATATGGTAAATAAATTTTTAAAAATTCTAAATATTTTTAAGCATCAATGAATAATAAAATAAAATTTAACTAAAATGTTTAGATGATTTTAATCTGTGGGAACATAACCAACAAATCCCCCATCAACATCCCCCTCAACAAAGCCCGCAACAAATGTACAACGAAGATTATCACCCTCAAACCTCGCTTCATCATCAACAACCAATATATCATCAACCCCCACAATATCCTTATACACAATTTCCAACATTTCCAAGTCAAGGTGAATCCTCTTCAAATCCTAGTAATTTACAAAACAATCCAACTGAAATAGAAAACGAGAATCAAAAATACCTTTTGGTAACACAAGAAATGATTAATCAAAGAGAGGAAGGTCAGTTAAAAAAAGGGCGCATGCATTACTTCTGTCATTATTCACTTTAGTTATTATGGTATAGAAAATCCTGTATTTTAATTAAACAGGGCTCCGATTTATACTTATTTCGGAAGTACAGGACTTACAGCCCAAAGTTCCTACGCACGAAATTGAAATAAATATATTTTTGAGTATATCAGGGATCGCGCCGACACGATTCGCGATTCACGAAAATCATGAATTCCCGACGATTTTTAGCTCGTGAATTCACGATTCCCGAAAATCGGGAATTTGATTTTTTGTCGGCGCGTTCCCTGATGTATATGTATGGACTTTTTATTTTAACCTCAAAATTATCAAAAATATCGTCTGCGGCACAAAAATACTTAAATATACAGTACTAACTGGATTTATTTATGTTCTAGGACAGATTTTTTAAATATAAATTTAAAAAAAAACATATTTAGAGGAAAAAAAATATGACGCGATAAAATATCAAGAAGCGGAACTGACAAATATGGAACAACTGATTAACAACATTCAAATGGATTCTGAGGAGGGCATTGACAAAGGATTTTCTTTAAATTCTCAAGAAATTACAGGTTTTGTGTCAGTTTTGTTACAGAGGGATAGATAATCTGCTCTATTTCTCTTGCAATGAGACCAACAAGATTTTAAAAATTACTTATATGTAGGGATGGTAGGGATGACTCGTTGGGTTCTGAAACGTCCAAAAAACATGATTTTAGCATGTTGCGATAAGGCTGTTTTTGAGTTATCAATCCATATTTTCCATATTTTATCCATATTTCGTCATTTTTAGTAAAATTTTGCCAAAAATTGGTTGAAATTTTCAAATTTATGAAATTTTTGGTCAAAAATTTTTACAAAAAACTTTTTTGAAAAAATTTTTCGAAAAATTTTCGACTCAAATATTATCAAAATATTTTTAGAAACAAAATAATCACTATTAATTAATTGGTTTATTTGTAATATAATAATTTGCATCAAAATTAACTTAATTAATATTTTCTGCTTTAAAATGAAAATTTTTTCGCTAAAAATTTTCAGTTTTCGGCCCATATTTGATCCATATTTTGTATTTTAGTCCATATTTCAGTCCATATTTTGAGATTTTTAGTCCATATTATATGTCCATATTTTTCGATTGATAGTCCATATAAATCCCATCCCTACTTATATGTAATTGATAAAAACAAAAAAAATATTTCCTTTAAACCATGAAACCCCTTTAAAACATTTATTTTCTTAGAAATTTTTTATTTAATTACAAAAATATAAGTATACTCACTAAATAACAGGTGACCACGTATATTATATCAAAACTCGGATTTACAAATGTTACAAATACACATTTAATCAGTCAAGAACAAAAACTTTTAATTTGAGATGTAAAGCTCGGAATAAAAAATGTAAAGGGAAAATTACATATATAACGTTTGATTATATGAATAGGAAGGGATTATTTAATAATTTTAAAGAAACTCAGCCACATACATGCAAAACAAATGGTTTGATAAATATTTTTGTTTATTAATTTTCAAAATAAATCCCGGTACTTATCTTAATAAAATCGGTAGAGGAAAGTCTAATAATTATATAAATGTCAGATTGTTTTCACTTGTCCACCATTCTAAAGCACAAAAAAGTTAATTTACCGTATTTCCTCTAAAATGAGCCCCGGGGCTTATTTTAGAGGTGGGGGGGGGGGGGGAGGGGGTATTATTATTCCTAATTATAAATATAATTTTAGGATCATTTAAACACAAAATAAACATTTGCGTTAAACCTGGTTTAGCAAATATAAAACAATTATCATACTGTATTTACATCGAATACAACATAGTAGGAGAGTCGAGTAAGAAAACAGATTTTGTTGGAACACAAGAAATTGGAGCTTTAAATGATTGCAAAATACAAAAATTTAAAACTGACATATTTATAGAAAATATTCGATTCGTTGTTGTTTGGAGTGAAGATATATTTTTTGGGAAGGACGATGTTTTGTATGCGGTTGGAAAGAAAACTAGAAAATATTTTTAATTTTAATTTTTAGAGTCATTTCAACGTCAAAAACGAAGAATTAGTGTCTAATGGTACAATTACATTAGATATAGACACCGTCGAAAGAACTAATCTTGAACATGATAGAAAGACTGTTTATTGAAGAAAGCAATCCGAAAGAGAAATTGATATTTTAGAGAATTTTTTGATTTTTAAATTTTTTTTGGTTTCCAAGGGTTTCTGAGTGTTTTTTTTAATTTTTCGGGTTTCAAATATGGGTATTTTTGGATAAGTTCTGACCTTTATTTTCTTAACTACATTCAAAAGTGATGGGAAAGTTTTGCGTTTTATTTGAAAAAGACGTAAAAAGCGGAAAGAAATGATTTCCTCAATTTTTTACTTTTCGAAGATTTTATTCAAACTAGAGACCGGCGCGGGTCAAATCCCGACGGGATTTTCCGGAATCCCAGATTTTTTTGAGTTTCGGGATCCGGGATTTTTTCAGGATTTATCCCCCGGGATCCCGTCCCGGCATCGGTTAAAAAATAAAATTCCGACTCGGAATCCCGGAAGTTCGATTTTGCCGGTCTCTAATTTAAACAATTCTTTTTGAGGTTTTATTTATTCTAAACTTCATTCTGTTATTATTTTATCATAATCTTTATTTAAAATTTTGGATTATTTTTATTTAAATTTAGTTTATTTTCTAATAGATTCGAGGTTTTGTTTACTAAAAGATCTAAATTTTCCTTCAATCACGTACTTTTTTGATTTGCGATATGCGAAATTTATCCTCGGAATCCTGAGCCAGAAAAGTTTTTAACAATCCCATAAACGGAATCTAAACATTACAAGAAACTTTGAAATTGTTCGATTTTTAATGAAAAATACAAAATTAAAAAATAGCGCTTTTGTATTTTTTATAAAAAATGATTTTTACTCGGCCTTCTGAAATTCCCAAAATTTTTGCTTAAGGTGCTAAAAAGGACTCATTCTGGGGTAATGACTTGTAAAAATATAAAAAGGGGATAAATTTTGATTTATTTATTTTGACGGTACTTATTTCCTTCCCCCTCCCTCCTCCTCAGGGATTTATTAAAGTACGAAATGGTCAGGTATTTTTTCCTTTATTTAAAGACGGTTACAAAGGAAAAGTGCGAAGAAAGAGTGTGTGAATGAAGGGACCACAAGCAAAATTTTTAAACTTATGCAAGGAAAAAATACTGACCTTTTCGTACCTTAACTAAATCGCGGACTGGGGCGAAAGGAAATAAGTACCAATTTTGACTTCTTGGTATTTATACGTTATGAATTATTTTTTTATTCAGGCACATCTCTGTCTTCAAGGGCTTTATTTTCCAAATTAGTATTTTTGTTACTTGATTATTTAAAATTTTTATTTTTAAAGTATAAATTTAGTTTAGCTGTATTTTTGACAGAATTGAGGTCTTAGATTTAATGAATTTTTAAATACCGTATTCCGGTATTCTTTTTAAAATTGTGTTGAATGGTTAATAAGTTAATATTTTGATAAAATTAAATTAATTTAAATTAAAAATCAACTAAATATAATTCTAAAAAAATAAAAATATGAAATCCAATTTTTTATCAAATTTTTTTAATTTTTCCAATTGTTGAAATATTATGCCTTCTTTTTCTAGTCAAGTTTTTAAACCAACAACGTACTCCCTACAAGTGGTGGACGCAGACCACCACTTGACGCGAGACCACCACCACTTGTCAAATTAAGTAGTAGCAATTTTTCAATTGAAGTATTACTATAAGTCAGCGAGTCCTACTCGATTTTGAGATACATGTAAGTTGGATGGGTAATGATTTGGAGAGATATCGGAGATACAAGGGATTATGAAGGATATCAAAGGATTTAGCGGTATCAAGGGATTACGGAGATTATCATATAATTTGTTGGGATCAAGGAGGTTTAAAAAGATACAATGGGAGACGAATGTCGGATCAGTTTGGAAGATAGCGGAGGATAAAGGGCTATAAGTTATAAATTTATATTAGTTATAAATTTATACTAGGGATATCAGGAGATTAGGACGCAAAACGAAAAAGAAGGCCCACCTCTGCCTCCCCACAATAAAATTTTATTTTAGTCAAGAAAAATATTATTCAGAATTTAGAGAGCAAAAGGCCTATGAAGCAGTGATGTCAAAGTTCCAGTTCCGGAACTAATTAGTTTTAGTTCCAGTTCCGGAACTAGAACTACGGAACTAACGATTATCTGGAACTAGTTTGGAACTAGAACTACGGAACTAATAAACGCCTGGAACTAGCTTGGAACTGGAACTACGGAACTAGTAAACGTCTGGAACTAGCTTTTGAACTAGTACTGGAACTAGTTCTTGGGGCCTAATTGCGATCATTACAAAAATTGCGATCATTACAAAAAAAGAAAGTTTATCTAATAAAAAGTGAAGCGGCCGATAACAGCTCGGTTCCGCTTGGTGATAAAACTAATTGAAAAGAGAAGCAAATTTGAATAATGAATAGCTGCCGCTTGATTCCTTAAAGCTTTTAAAGCAAAAATTAGAGAATTTAAGGGAACTTCAAAGAAATTGAAAAAATTAGATGAATTTTAGATGAGGAAAGAATTAGCGGCAGCCTAACGAAAAAGATTTAACAATAAAATAGACTAAAAATGGAATAATTCGAAATTATGGTCCGTTTTTTGTTCCCACCCAAAAAAGATGACGACAGTCTGCTTTATGAAATTTCCAATATGCCCAAGGTTGTTGAATGTATAATGCATTCCCCTCTTTTTAGAAAAATATTTAGATATCCCGTTAAAAACTACCCCTCTAAAAAAAGAAATTTATTCGTCATAATATTCATCGTCATGGATTCTCTCTTCATGAGGTTCACTATAATTTTCTACTTCATGCGTAAACATGTTTGGATCCCCAAGAAGATAACGTTGTGATCCACCAGAATAGCTGCTTCTATATGGATCTAATTGACTTCCAACCATTTGTTGATTATAATGCGCTAAAGCCTCTTTCTGTTTCAACTCATTTACACGGTTACTCATCTCTTGTGGAAAGACACTTTTATTCTCAATTGAGTTATACAGATCCATAATAATTTTAGTTTGTTCATTAACAAATGTTATCGATGTTCCTATATTTATTAAATATAAATTAACAAATTTAATATTAGAGATCGGCCTGGATCCCAATCATGATTTTTCTTGGATTCTAAGTTAAAATCAAGGCTGTTCATGAATTTATTTTGATAATGATTTTTTCTTGACCAGGGTTAAGTATAAAAATCGAAATTTAATAAAAAAAACCGGGTCCAAGAACCGTGAAACAGGTTCTGAAAGTTGAGAGGGGGGACCCGGACCGGGAAAACTGGGAATTTTCCTCCCCGTTTTCATCCCGTTTGCTTCAAAGAAACAGGGAAAAAGGACCCAAAAACCCGTTCCGTCTCTAGTCAAGTATTGTCAAGGTATCGAATTAAATCAAGAGTCGAGTACAGATCAAATCCTTACTAGTACTAAGATGATATTATTTGATTTGAAATGATTAATGGTGATATTAATTATTTGAGGAGTAAAGGGGATGGATATTGTCAGAGGAAACTATGTGAATTAGCACCCAATAATACCAAAGTATAAACCCTACGCGTTATAATCTTATCCACAATTACAAAATAATATCAAAGCCTGATTGATAAACCTTGATTTTTTTGGACTAAGGTCACCAATTACAATCGGATAAAGATCAAGTTTTTCAAAACCCTATATAGCATCTAAATAATATTAAATAACCTTCTCGACCCACTCGCGCAGTACGTCCAATACGGTGCACATAATTTTGATATGCTAAAATGAGTACATATTTAAACATAAAAGAAATATTTTTCGCGCTTTAGATGTGACATGTTTTAAAATTTGAGAAATTGGCGTCTGGCATAGTGCGCTTCAGTCGAAAATTCTGGCGCATAGCTCTGTTGTTAATAATGTTTATATTTTTAGGGCAGGGTGGCGCAGACATAAGATGTTTGAAAAAGTATCTACGGCGGAAACCTTAGAAATTTACTGAAGACAACAGCGATGTGGGTAATTGTCTTCTTATCTCGCGACATTTTTAATATTCCCCAATTCTTTTTCACTAAAGCACATAATAAAAGATTCATCATAAATCCAAAATCTACAGAATTAAGTGCTCAACTCTGGGAGTCAGACAAACGGTCTACAGCGATGTGAATCATTAACACGATTAATGACTTTTTATTTTATTATATGGCAATAGTACAAGATTATGTCTAACAAATGCGCAATGTCAACTATAGTTCGACATTCAAACACTCATTAGGGTCTGCAAATTGTCTGTTCTCCCTCTTATATAGAGATGCCCCTGAGCATTTTGTCCCTCTTTTTCCTTATAGTTCATATTAGAAAAAAATGGCGCATACACCCGGACTATTACCGCGATGTGGCTAAACTGATTTATAAAGCGTGGGGCAATTTAAATGACCGGAAAACGAATGAAATACCCACCTTCAGGAGTATCATAGTTAATAACATGTGTAATATCCCCAATATCTATCCCTCTCGCAAGTACATCTGAGGCAATTAAAAGTCGTACTCCTCCCCTTTTAAATATGCTCAAATTTTCCTTCCTTTCCTTTAGACCAACATCACCGTGAAATGCCAAACAATTGAACTTATCATTTTTCAGTCGATTTTGTATCTAAAATGTTATTATAATATACGTATATCAATAGTAATAAGTAAACTACTCGACTTCAAATATGTTTGGTAGCTTAAAATATGTACATATCTACCCTTTAGTATAGGGGAGAAATGTGAAAAAACTATGACGTCAAACCCGATCTGTACGATGTTTATCTAACCGCCTTCTTATTTTACGGGCCCCTCTCTTTATGTATCAATTCCCTCTCTTTATGTATAATATTCATCGTCATGGACCCCCTCCTTTTCATGGACCCCCTCCTATATATCATGGACCCCCTCCTATAATATTCATCGTCATGGACCCCCTCCTTTTCATGGACCCCCTCCTATATATCATGGACCCCCTCCTATAATATTCATCGTCATGGACCCCCTCCTTTTCATGGACCCCCTCCTATATATCATGGACCCCCTCCTATAATATTCATCGTCATGGA